TGCTTGTTTGCTGCCCCGCCCCAACCTAGGGCTTGGGCTTGCAAGACTGAACGGTTTCCCGGCCTCGTAATGTGAGGCAGCCTGGCTCCCGGTCGCCCCTGCGAGGGACGAGCCCCACTCCGGACATCTACAGACCCGAATTAAATTATATCCAGACATCCAAAGAATTCTTAAGGATTTTGCTAGGGACTTGTCAAGCATTTCTGACTTTTGAAAGGGCAACTGAACCAGACTGCTGGTGGAAGTAGTGACCCTACCCACAGGTGTAGTGTTCCAGGTTCTTTGGCCAAGGTTTTCTGGGGAAAAAAAGATCTGGAGAAGAATCTGGTGATGTCACACAAAGCATTGAAGACGAAAAGATAGTGTCATTTTGCTAGTATTCAGTTTGGTGGGGAGTTTCAGTTTCCCTCTTTTGATCTTTATGGTACTTCTGAAAGTACGAGAGAGAATGGGTGATATTGAGAGGCATTTGAGCAGACACTATACATATTGTGGTACCACAAAAGACATGGAAGACAATTCAAAGTCCCTTTTAAAAAGTTTTCAGTCTTCTGGTCTACAAAGTCCTTTGGAGAATTCGCCCCATTAAATTGGGTTCAAAACCTTTTTTACCTCAGAAGGATCTTAATATGAAAAAGCAATCCATCTTCAGAACAGAAGAAAAGGTGGTCTTATCAGACTGGATTTTCATAGAGGTATAATTAATAGACTTCTTTTTGCCAGGGTAGGAGACTGAGAGTCAATTTTCTCAAAAGATTCTAGTACAGGGAGACAGATCTTTTTACCACTTCATCTTAAGGAGTCCTGGCTAGGAGAAGGACTTGGAGGAAAATGGGTTGCTGGTTCAGCTATCTTAAAAGTGGAACTGATCAATTCCTCCAAGACTTCCAAGGGTTCCTTAGATGGCGGGTGACCTAAATTACCAAATGGGAGGAAAGTTCCTCTTTGTCAGCAAGGATTATAGTGAATACTTTTGATGTCTCAGAAATCCTTGAAAGGAACGGAGGGAAAATGGTGAGGGAAGCAAGGCAGAAAAAAGGCATTGGTATGACAGCTCTTCCTAGAGCACTATAGACAATAGAAGCTGGTTGGCACAACATCTTGGGGACTCCCACACAGCTCTCACTACTTCCCCCACTAATTGAACTGCAGCTTGTTGGCTGTCATGGTCCCGGAGCAGAGAAAGAGAAAGACCTATGTTGGGAAAAATGGTATGGGGTCAGGCTGAAAATGAAGGCGTAGAAGCTAAGGCGTATGCAAGTGGTCTGCCAGCACATGGAGCAGAATGTAAGAATGGGAACCTTAAGCTTTGCTGACAGGGCACAAATCAAACATGATGTAGTAAAACTGTAGGAACAGTGGAGTTCCTAGCCTTCCTCGAAGTATTCACCTGAAGACCCTCCTCTTGCCACCTGGAGATGAAGGTGAAGAGATGGTGAAAAATTAGCTAACAATCTTGAGGGAAAAGAGCCCTCAGAAAGAGCTTCTGCAGACAGCTCTGTGACTGAGCATGGAGTAGAAGATGGGGGAATATCAGCAGCATACCTGTAGAGGGAGTTGAAGGCAGATTTGCACTGGAAACAAAACAATTACTTGCCTGACTCTGGGACTCAGGAAAGTCAGAAAAACCCAATAGTCTAAGCCTGACAAGGCAGTGAATTCTCATGACAGAACCAACTATAAACTAGCAGTTCTTCATAATATCTTGATAATAAAAGAACAGTCATTCACATTTTATTGTGCTCAAGTCACTCATAGACCATGACGTCAGACAGCTCAGGGGATTGATAATGAGGAACAGAATCTTTGACTTCTTACTCACTTGTTAAAACCAGACAAGAACAGTAGTAACCAGAAGTTACCATCTAACAGCTGACCAGTAACCAATTCTAAATGAATTGGCAGTCTCTGTCTAGCTTCAGTGGACAAGTGTTAATAACATAAGAAATAATACCACACCATACTGCATGTGCTCAGTACCTTTGAAAACTCAGATAATTTGTTAAGCATCTAAACCGGATGGCTGACAGTTAAACTTGGAACTCTAGTTACTTAGCTAAAACAAGTTATAGCAAGGACAGTTGAGAGCTAAACAGTACAGAAGGCAGTTAGTAGGAACTGGAAGAAAAAAAAATACAGTTTTACTGCTTTTATCATCTCCCTGTGAGTTCAGCTGCCTATTACTTTTGACTCACCTTGTATCCTTAAAAACAAAAAAACACCCCAAGAATATTAAATACAGTAGCTTTCAGCTTAGTTTTGAAGATAAGTAGCTGGTTTGAAAGCTACCACTTGGCTATGTACAAGAATAAGGGTAGTCAAGCTCACGTGTACGCGAGACACGGGGGGGCAAGAGGAGAGAAAGAGAGAATGAGTGCAGTCTGAACAGACCAAATATGTACAACAAACCTATTAAAATTGTAGAAAAATAACTTTGCAATAAATATATTTAAAGTTGCAAAAAGTATTTACAACCTTTTCCCTAATGTTTTTTCAGCCAACAAGTACTTTTCACAGTGCTTAACTTACTGCCTCAAAAAGTTTTAAAATCTTTTAAAAATACAGTAAAATTATAAACGGAAGCTACACACTTTAAAAGCAATAAGTCATGCCAAGATGTGAATTAGTGGATAGAGGTGCAATTCTTCAGCAGCTGAATGCCAAAGGAAAGCAGCAACAACCTACTGCTGTGCTCCCTGTGGTGGCTTATTGCAGTAAATTAATGTTAATAGTTGGTAGAGCTCTACAGTGTGGGAGATGACTGTTCGAAAGACTATCTTTTGTGTAATCAAATTGGGAAAGGCTAAAAAACAGTTTAATACCATTTAGTGTGGAACAATATCTTAAGCACGCATTTGCCTCATTTTTCCTGATTCAAGTCTCTCTGGACCAAGCTCACACCTAACGTAATCCCTTGATTTCAGTAGATTTTCACCAGGGATGAATTTATCCCTTCATGGTTTAACGGGGGGGGGGGGGGGGGTGTTCTTAAATTTACAGTAAGGTGCATACCCTCCTAAAAAAGTATACTGGCTTAAATAAAATTATCCAAGCCAGATTTGCACCCAGAGTGAAGAAGAAGGCAAAATGTATTACCTGGAGATACTTCTTCTTTCTGTCTGACTGTATGGTCCTTTGTGAATTTAACCCTCTGGTGAGCTCTGATGCAGGTCTTGCATAACCATTCTACACACTCCACACAAAAACCATTGGCTTCTGCATTGTCTTCACAGCTTGTGCAGACCTGGCAAGAAGGGGGAATACAAAACAGTTATTAAAATAAAAGTAACAGATAATCTCAAGTTGTAAATGCATCTTGTGCATTATTTCTGGTAAGTGAGTCAAAAGGAAGAAAAATACTGTCTGAAGTACAGAACATATTACAACTCTGTCCATTAGTTACCTCCTTAACTATACAGAATTTAACATGATTTTTCAAGAAAATACTCATATAGCCAATAAAACACTTTTTAAAAAATGAATTAGCTAAAAATCAAATCAAATCAATTCCTTCTGTCTTGTACTATATATTTAGTAAACTGCTCTTGAGAAGTATTTAACCTTTTCAATGCATCTAGTAGCATCCATTGGACTGGTTCGGCTTTCTAGAAATACGCTCATTAATCAGCAAGAGTTTCTCCTCTACTACTATTTAAGAAACTAAAAACTGTTTAAATTGGAAATAAAACTAAATGGACTGAAGATAAACACTTAGCTCCTAGATAACACTTTACCTCTTCATAGCATTGTAGCAGTATTAACTAATCCTTACAACACCTCTGTGTCCGTACCTGTAATGGGATTTTTGGTATAATTTTCCACTGGTGGTAACAATTATGGGTGTGCTAGTGTGAATAGGTCTCCATGTAGCCATCATACTATTTAGCCCTATTCCAAGCAGTAGCCTCAAGTTGTCTGGAAATCTATATTCACTAAAGTCCCCACTGGTGGTGCGGGACTGATGGGAGCAACGAGAAAATGTTAGCAATGATCACTATTGTAGACAAGGGTTAAGAGGAAGCAAGCATTTATATATGATGGTGAAGGCATGCTTAGAACTATCCCCATTTTACAGAAGGAGAAAACTAGGGCAAAGATATACCTTAAGACCATACAGCAAGTCAATGACAGAACAAGGATTTGAATTCAGGAGTTCCAAATTCCCAAAGCTATGATTGCTCTCCTAGATCATGTTGCCTCTCAAGGTGAGAATCTTCTAGAAGGAAGTTAAGGCAGGGATTGTGGATACCTCTTGCTTTCTTTCACTTGTTGATTTTCATTAAATGTGTCATGCAAAGAAAAAAAACCTGGGCTTGTGTCCTTTTTCTGATTCTTTGTAATAAAGGAGGTCAGAAAAGCTTTAAAAAACAAACAATTTTCTGCTAAGAATTCAGGTCCTATTCTAGGCTGCAAAACTATGGAGAATTAAAAAAATAACGGTGATATCACAAGCGCCTAGAAAATGAAAGGAACAATGGAGAGAGGAAGAGAGTTTTAGTCAGACTGTTTAAAACTTTCTATTTGTTCTCCTTGAGCCATGTATAACTTCAATGACATTTTACATAAAGGAAGCATTGTTAAAGATTCAGCACCTTTAACTAAGGTGTTAGAAAAGGATATTTACTTGCCCATTCTAACACCTTGTTAAAAGGGGAGGGAAGAGAAGAGGGGAGATTTGACATTCCTTTTATTTCTAAAGTGAAAAACAAGTGGATATGGGGGGTGGAGGGGGACCTTAAACATTTTTCAGGTATTCTTTATATCTTAAAGCAGCAAAAAGGATAGAAGCCTTTTTTTTTCCCTTTTTTTAATGAAAAAAAAACCAACAAACAAACAAACAAACAAAAAAACAGAAAACACCCTTTCAGGTCACCTTTAACAGTCTTAGCAAGTAAACTTGTTACAAGCCAGAATATTTAAATGAGTTCAAAGGATTTCAGAAATGAAATATCCTTCCTAGGATTCCAAGATCTTTGTCTTTTTCTGACACACTTCAGTTTTCTCAGATGGTAAAAGTTGTTAGGGCTTGAAAGACCTACCAGTCTCTTCAGATGCTGAAGATGCTGTTCAATAACTGCCAAGCAGGTGCTGCCAAATGAACTAAAGCTTGACCTCTCCTCCATGGGACAAAGCACATACTATCCTTTATTTGTGCAATGTCCTAAAAAACCAAGCAAAAGTCAGAGTTCTCAAATTATATTTCATTAAAAAACAAGAATAAGAAGCAGTAATTCATGTCCTCAAACAACTCTTAAGTGGTAACCAAGTTTTGTTTCAATCCATTTTCCATTTGAAAAAGACAAAAATGGGACTTTGTACAGTTTTAACAATACTCACAGAAATTCCTCTACAGAGGGGGAAAAAAAATGTCCTTAATGTTATTCAAAACGTCCTCTATTTTAGTAATTCGCTACCTCTTTTAAATGCTCTTGTCTTTTTTGATCAAGATTAGAAGGTAGTTCTGTATTATTAACTATTATGCTTACAGGAAAAGCCTATAGCTATTATATAATATATAGTTATAATATTTGTAATAGCACAAGGGGCTCATTCAAGCACTCACAGGTACTTCAATAAAACCTGAAGATACTCATCACATCACAGAAAGGTCCATAAATATAAATATATTTGTACATTATTGTTTCTATTAACAAAAAACTTAAATTTACTTTTGAAAATTCCAGGTAAGGCAACATCCTCTTAGAGACTTAGAAAGCATTGACTGCAATCAGCTAACTATATTTTAGGTAGCAAAGGGGTACAGTAAGCAAAAGTTTCCAGTTTAGGAAGAATGCCAAAGAGCAGGTAAATCTGGAGGACTATTAGATCACCCAGTGTTCCAAAATTTGCCAGTCTTAACTAGTTGCATCTAATTGCCCACACCAGAAGTTGAGAAAAAATATGAAACCAAGTATTCCAAAAAGTTCAGAAATGCCACTTCTTAGCATTTGTATTGTGTGTTGATTTAATGTGAACAAATTAACAAAAATCACCAAGGACATCCATTTATTAGAACTCTTCTCCCTTTCTCTGGGCACCTTCAACCACACATGGCTCTAACTATGAGCTATGTGCTGAGTATTCCAAACCCCACCACTTCCCTTCTTCAACAGTATTTCATCAGCTCCCCTCTCATGAACACAACGTGACAAAAAAACAAAAAACAAAAAAAAACTGATTTTTCCTCCTGACCCTTCTACCCCCTTCACTGCTCCACTCTACTTCCATCACAGACACTAGCACAGCAAGCCAGGATTAGACTTCTCTCTCCACTTTTTCCACTCCCAAGCTCTAATCCATTTGCTTCTTTTTTGACATCTCAAACAAAACCCATTTTCTCTTCTCTATTCCTACAACAAAACCCTTCATATTTCATTTGCAACTCAATCATACTAAGCAAAGCAACATACCTTGTTATGTCCAGCCTATACAAAAATACTTCTAAATTAAAATGTCCTTTCCCTGTTCTGGTGCTGGACACTGACAATAGGACACAGGACTAAGCACAACATGGGTCTGATCCAGCATGGCAATTCCTACATTGTTAATAGCTTCCTCTCCTTTTTCCAAATCAAAATAAAACTTCATTCTCACAAGGCCTTGCTCTACCTCACCCTTTCTTTCTTTTCCATCTCTAGTTCTTCCCCTGTCTGTGCTCTTAATAATCTTAAAATATTCTGTCTTCTTCAAAGCTGTCCTGTAGTCTTGGAACTCCTCCCTCTCTTTGTACACAACCCAGTTACCCTATTTATTTTCAAAACCTCAACATTAAATTATTTTCAAAGTCTTTCAGTAAGTCAGAGTGTCAAAAAAACCCAAAGGATCTGCCCCTTCCTCTACTCATCCAGCATATTTACATTAGGGTTAGCCAGGGGCTGTGTGCTGATAATACTAGCAATTGTTTATGGCACTAAAGACACTCTTCTCCTCTCCCTCTGATATGCCCTCCATGCTGGGCCCTTAATCCAGCCATGCAACAGCCAGGAAGACCCACTACACTGGATATATTCCCCAGGAACTTTCATTAATAAGTCAAAGTCAGCTCTGAACACACTGTTTTTTTTTTTTTTTTTTTGTGGAGGGGGAGGGAGGATGTTGACATTTTGATTACTTCCCACTTCCCTTGTAATAAATGTATTGTTCAGCGAGTCAAGAAGAGAATGCTCTCTTATCTTCCCAAGTTAAATTTTAAATTACATTCCCAGAAGATGAGATTCTTTGCATTGTAAATGTTTCAAATAAGTCTTTCACTCAAGGAATGGCTAGATACAATAGGTTATCTGTAACAAGTATTTCTTTGGACGGTTTTATTAACATGACCCATGACCACTCTTATGTCTGGAATTATTCTGTGAAGAGCAGGCTCCCTGATCCCTTATGTACCTGATGAAACGCAGCAGGTGTAAACAATGGACTACTTAACACATTCTGATTTCTACTGCCTTCACAGTACAACTTGAAACAAAGAAACTTTGCTCTTATTAGAAAGTTGTATTTTTTGAAGAGTCTCCTTAACCTAGAATAAACTGCTCCTTCTTGATGTATTGGGTGTAAAAGCCAGTTACTGAAAAGAATCACTGGGCCAAGCCACTTCCTCTTGTATAGCAGCCCTGGCTTGTTCTCGCCAACGGAAGTGTCTTGAAGAATATCTGATGAACTGTTAAATACAAACTTAACTAAGCAATGGGGTGGATATCTATATAGGCAGGAAATATTTCCAGAAATCCAACTTTCATATAACAAAGTTCATGATCCTTTTCGTTTGTGATCACATTCCAGAGCAGATCCATTCAAACAGAACTGTGCATCAGGCTGGACTAATTTAAATCAAAGTGATATAAATCAGCAAACAGGAAACTTTGATCTAAATCACTGATTTTAATCATGATTTCCATTTCTATTTTTTAGTTCTTTTCCTACAGAAAGGTTGGTTCTCATTAGTTGGTAACCATTAAAACATGTCATTTGCAACTAAAGATAAGCCTTTACACTAATTATAGACTTATGCTAAATTTGGTGGTTCTTTATACTAAACCAGGAGGATACACTATATGTATACATGTTTATTTAAGCAATTATGTAGCTTAATTTACCTTTATTCAGATTTCTTAATCTAATTTTTTCTAAAAAAAAAAAAAATCTAAAACTCAAAGGGTGAATGATATATTTATTTCTAGTATCTGATTAAATCTCTTATATGGGGTTTGTGTAAAACTCCATTTAGACAGAAATTCAAATTCAATT